GGTATATAAGTCTAACTGCTATTGCTATTACTATTGGTGAAGTTGGGTTCTGTTTTTTCTTTTAGGGTTTATTAAAAGTAATAAAATTTAACAGGTGAGGAGTATATCACATCCCCATTTCCTATGTTATATCTGCAATGTTACTTCAAAGAAAATCTCTCTGTCTATAGCACTGTGGTCTGTCTTATTGTGTCCTTTGTACTATGGATACCAGGAATTAAGCCATAGCCCAGATGTAACATATCTGGAAGCACAGGTGCTCATAATCATCTCAGTTTCTTCTTTGACAATTCATTGGGTTTTGTTGCAAATGGTGCAGAAAGTGTCTTCACCTTGTAGTTGGTAAAAATTGTCCAGTTGGTCTTCTGCAGTGGTGTCATGCAATAGTTCCATTATGCAAGACTCCAGAGGATCAATCCTTACAGTGTTTTCTTGTATTAAACATTGTTTTTGCATTATTCATAATAAATCAAGTGTCAGGGTTTCAAATAGCATCCAAAAGTAAACCAGAGTCCAAGGCAAAGTATTGCTCAAAGTTCTAATTTATTAAGAGAGCCGTGTTGGCACATCTGGTAAAACCTAAATCTGAAAGCTTCCCGGTTTCCCCCACCCAGTTGAAAGTTCAAGATCTTGCCCCCATATTCACAAGTCCATCACATGGTCCACAGTTCCACCCATCCAGTTCTGGTCAGGTGCAGAGGTGCAAAGACAAAGGATGACCTTGGCTTTTTAGAAAGAGTTTTATTATGGCTACATAACATCTCACTCCTTACTATCCCCCCTCCCATTTTCCCACAATAGAAAATGCATAGTAGAATAATAGAAAGTGTGGCAGGCCAAAGATCCAAAAGAAAAAATGGCTTCAGGCCTGACACTGTGATCATGAAGATACTGGGAACTAATTGTCTCTATTGCATTTGCCCCAATCCAGTGACTCCTACTTCTGCCCCTCTCTTTCTAAAGGAGAGAACTGTATGTTTAGAATCAGTAGCAGTGAGTTATCTCAGATCTAAGAGAAGCATCCATTTCTATTAAGGAGTAGAGGCACATGCATTCAGATGTTCTTCCTACCTCCAAGATATTTTCCTAGTTGTTAGGCTGAGAAGATTGCACAAATGTGATTTATTTATTCATCCATACTACATGGAATTGCTTTATTAATTATCTGTCTATCTCTAACAAGAGATGCAATTTTCATTGATATCATTGAAAGGTGTGTTAAAAGCAGATCTAACAGATGTTTTATGTATTCTTATGGATATACAAGAAATCCATTGCTACAAATGATATAGGTTGCTAATACAGATTGTGTCACAGTGGCTTGGGGCAATAATGCCAGAGTCTTAATAGAATAGAATAGAATAGAATAGAATAGAATAGAATAGAATAGAATAGAATAGAATAGAATAGAATAGAATAGGGAGGGACCTTGGAGGTCTTCTAGTCCAAGCTCTTGCTTAGGCAGGAAACCCTACACCATTTCAGACAAATGGTTACCCAACATCTTCTTAAAAACTTCCAGTGCTGGAGCATTCACAACTTCAAGTTGTGGCAAGTTGTTCCATTGATTAATTGTTCTAATTGTCAAAAAAATTTATCCTTAGTTCTAAGTTGCTTCTCTCCTTGATTAGTTTCCACCCATTGCTTCTTGTTTTATTCTTATGTGCTTTGGAGAGTCTCTTGACTCCCTTTTCTTTGTAGCAACCCCTGAGATATTGGAACACTGCTATCATATCTCCCTAGTCCTTCTTTTCATTAAACTAGACATTAATACAAAGCAGTATACATTTTGGAAAAATACTTTTAAAATGGATCATTGAAAAGTGTGAAGCTAGGTTAAAATGTTGTAATATCACCCATAACTATGTAACACAATCTATGCATTAGTTTCTTAAAATAGTGTTAATTAGGAAAACCAACAATCAAAATGAATTATGAGAGGAAACTAATCCTGTTGACCAATAAAAGTTATGTCCAATTTTTAAAATGATTCATAGAATACTTAATGGAATGGAATAATGAGTCATTGCAGTCAGTATTGATATCTGTCAGCAGCAGAGTGATCTGTAGGTAGATAGTCAGATAGACAGATCCATTTGCATCAGCTTTTTTTTGTTCATCAGGCTTGCTGAAATGTCATCAACAATCCTTTTGAGCCAATGAAAAAAAAATCTAGTAGGTAGACCTGGGCATTCTAGGTGCAGATAATATCAGCCAAGCACTACAGGTCAGTCAAATTCATAATTATGAACTTAATTGTCCCTATTATGTCGGACAATTATTTTATCCCCTACATACAGTAGCTCATTCCTAAATGTTATTTCAGAGAACATTTTATCTTTTGTGCTTTAACAATGTCTCCTAGAATTTATGGGGATTATGGTGATCTGCCAGGAAATCTACAGGCTAATGGAATTAAAGGCTTGAAGAGATAGGAACTTGAAGATATAGTTATATTAGGACCCTCTTGTGAAAGTCTGATTTATCCCAAAGATATATTTCAGACAGCATTTGATTTTCTTTAAATAGCCTGCTACCAAATGAATTCAAAACCTAGCAATAAACCCAAGGAAATGTCTGTTAGTGAAATGATGTATAAAGACGTTCATTTATTACAGATGAAGAGGCAATCTTCACTAAGGTGACAATTACAGGCAAGGGCTGTTGCATGGAAAAGAAAATCAAAAGACATTTCTACTCCAGGGAAAAAAGATGGCAGTGAGAAGGGAGGGTGGGTTGAAGTGCTAAAGGAGAAAGAGGCTGTTAGAAGTGAATGATCTAATTTGCCATTTCCTGGAGCAAGAAATAGAGTCTTAGCACTGTGCAAAGGCAGCTTTCTTCTGAGTGGTGACCTCCAAATTTGTTGGGGTATAAATCCTAGAACTTTCAGTGTTCATGGTCAAATGTCATACTAGATAAGAATTCTGGGACTGAGGTCAAACATATCTGCAGGGTGCCAAGTTGTAGAAGGCTGTTTGAGACACATTTTGTCTCTAGGACAAATCCTTAAATGTTGACAACTACATTTGTCAAAATACAAGTACATTTTAGAAGCCAAGAATTATGTTTGGCCAGGAGCTGCCAAACATAATTCTTATTATGTCTTATCCACCTTATTACAAGTGGAAACAAAACAGCGTCAGAAACTATCCACATGGTGCTTATAAAACAACCAGCACCTGAACATCAGCAAGACAAAGGAGACGGTGCTAGACTTCCGGAAGGCAAGAGAGCCAGTTCGCTCAGGGATTCACTTCATGCGCGCTTCGCGTATGTGCAACAGTAAAGAAATTGCTTCTGCACATGTGCAGAAGCAAAAAAAACAGATGGGGGTGCCTATGGAGCCGCCAATAGAACTGGTTCAGGAGCATAGCCAGCTGAGTTACTACCTACTCAGCCAAACTGATCCAAACCGGTAGGAACCCACTTCTGAACTGATTACCTCCTTTCAGTGGTCCACAATAGAAAGTGTCCTCACTCATTGCATTATGGTGTGGTATGCTGGCTTGACAGCCATGGATAGAAGGTCATTACAGAGGGTGGTGAGCCCACCACAAAGCATTGTGGGCTGCCCCTGACACCATTAGTCGAGATTGCTAGGGCTCGCTGCCTTAGAAGAGTGAGGAAAATCCTCAGGGACGACTCACATCCCAGTCAGCCTTTCTTTATTCTCCTATATAGAAGCAGAGGCAGCCGCACAAACAGGCTGAAGAACAGTTTTTATCAGTGGGCTGTCAGACTCCTGAATGAAAAAATAACTCTACAACAACATAGTACGATTGACTTGCAGGGTCGGTGCGATGTGCAATAAGTTCACATCAGGGGTGGGTTGCTGCCGGCATTACTGCTGGTTCGGTGCGCATGTGCATTTGATCATTAATGCAATAAAAATTGCTCTGTGCATGTACAGAAGCAAAAAATAAGATGGCGGCACCGTAGGAGAGCTGGTTCGGGGGTGTGGCAGGCCTGGGTCATTGCCGGTTCCAGCGACCCAGGTTGCCAAACTACTACTATGTTTGGCTGAACTGGTGCAAACTGGTAGGAAC